ATATATATGAATTAAACGCTCGTGACAATTTCGAATTCCTGCATATTTTTATGCTCAGTTCGCAGCAAATGTCCTGCACTGGACGCACAATCTCTCATTAATTAAGCTTTAGTAGTCTTCATAAAACAATCTGTAGAATTTGTTGCCTATTTTGTGGTTTGTATATCGCAGGGCCCAGGCAACGACATATCCGGATTGCCGGTGAGAAGGACTTTTTTAATGAAACCGCCGTAAACTTAGACACACAATGCTCATGAGTGTTCAAGAAGCCTACGAGCAAGGCAGTGAAAGGCTTTGTTCGCCTATTCAACAGCAGCCTTTGCACTGAACAGTGAGCATTTATGGTGATCCACAGTCGCCCCCTTTATTGTCAATGCCCGTCGAAAGCGTTTCGGGGTCTGCACCTGGGCTGGTCGATATGTCTTGTTGCCAAGAAACGCATTCCAGGCTCACGAACCGTTTTAGTGCACGGACACTACAGTCACCTCATATCCCACACTTTCGCACTAGTTGTGTGATCGTAGAATGATTTGTACACGGAGAGTGCAGTCGGTCCAGCGCTCCCATACAAGTTCCAGAGTTTTAGTAAAACCTAAAACCTAAACGTTCCAGGGTTTTAGTAAAACCTAAAACCTAATCGCACCAGGGTTCAAAGTGTAGGTAGGGGTATGCGCGGAAACGATACTTCTCCCAATCTCATGCGGCCATAGAGGATCATGCTTCACATGAGAGATCCTAACGAATGCTAAAGCCCATTCCAGCCCTCACGCTTCCATCTTATACGAGACCATAGCGTCCACCTTATGTATCTTGGTCGTGAACGATCGCAGATGCACGGCTGAACCATTCGCAATCAACCTGCCACGAATGAAAAAACTAATGTCAACACCATACATAGTCTAGTAACAGTCCCATACATGAAGCGACCGGAGGTGGTGTGGAAGGTACTGAAATGTATGAAATGTTCCACAGACAGACACGGATGAAGATCACATATACATAGCACATTGCTATCATTAAAGCGGCTGGAGGCGGTGTAAAAAGGTACTGAAATGCATGAAAAGTTCCGCAGACCGACACGGATGAAGATCATATATACATAGCGCATTATTATCATTAAGAAAAATTCAAATAATTTCTAAAAGATTCTTACTTGGGATCGCTCTCTTCCCAGGCTCCAGGCGTCTCCATGTCCTTATCTGTATAGACAAGCAGCTCAAATGTACCTGTTTGCAAAGAGTGTAGAAGTCAGTCTAACGATGAGTTTCATCGCAGATACGCGAACAAAACTAAAACTCGGCGAACGTTGTATGCGGCCTATACCCCAGCGCCTATACTATGATGACAGATCAATAGTACACAGAGATTAATGAACGGACCCTGGAATTCACAATGAGAGCACTCGACAGTTCGGTACTACAAGCTATGGATAGGCAGCCTACAGTCGCACGCCCACCCGAACAACCAACAAGCAAAGCAATGCTCGTAATACGAAGCTATCTGAAGCGACCAGAGCGGAGTGGTGGGTCACGTATAGCAACTCACGCCGGTGTCAACATATAGTCACTACCTTCTTGGTATGCAAACGTATACAGAGACGATCACCCCTGAACAGAAGCCACAATGCTGTGATACGCCAAAACAGATACGCAGCTATGGAATACACAATACAATGAAAGGTCGGGGGTTGTAGCCCAACACGCAGGCTGTGTTTCATGAGCACACAAACCACTGAGACGTCCACTACGAGCAGTAGAGCATACGAGTACATGCACCTGATAGGTCACAACGTAGATCAGTATGAGGTGGTCCTATACTGCGCGCACTTACATAATATGTATATGTATATGTATATGTATATGTATATGTATATGTATATGTGTATGTATATGTGTATGTGTATGTGTATGTGTATGTGTATGTGTATGTATATCTATATGTTTATGTATATGTATGTGTATGTGTATATGTATATTTATATGTATATGTATATGTGTATGTATATGTGTATGTATATGTCTATGTATATGTATGTATATGTATATGTATATGTATATGTACATGTATATGTATATGTATGTATATTTATATGTAGATGTAGATGTAGATGTATATGTATAGGTATAAGTATAAGTATATATATCTCTATATGTATATGTATATGTATATGTATATGTATATGTATATGTATATGTA